GTTCTCATAGCAATATGTGGGTTGCTTAACCCTAAGGAAGATGCTTAACACTTGTTGAAATTTGTAGCAATTTACAAGTTTATGTTAAGCCGACATATGATCACCCGCTGAGGTATACAGAAATTTACAGGTTGAAATAAAGGCTAAGTATATTGTTTACTACATGTTGAAATTTGTAACAATTTACAAGTAGGATAGATCAAAATCACTGTTTAAATACTTATTGAAACTTGAGAAGAAGCCTGCAAAGTTTACATTGAGTAGTATATGCTTTATACTTGTTAAAATTTATGCAAGGTTTGCAGGACAGTATCTTGCCGAAGTAAAAGTTTTGTAGTTATACCCGAGGTAAGTAACCCGAGAAGATTGCACAAAGGAAGCAAAATGAAAAAGCATGCGAAAATTTCTAAGTATAGAACTATACAGAAGCAATCAACAGAAAAACATCCATAGAAAGAACAGTTGCAGTTACATGTTGAAAAAGTTACGTCGGCCATAAGAAGGAGTTTTTACATTATCCAGAAATTAAAAGAGAGTACAGAGTGCAAAGTACAGAGAAAGAAGAAAAAAGTACAAAAGACATTTTTCAAGATTCTTCAGTATTAACAGCTGAAGGGACTGGGACCTCGGACGATTCTGGTGGAACCTCGTCGGCCACTTTTTCCGCTTGTATCTCGGCATCAATCTCTGCTAATGATTTCTCAACACTTCTTTCTACCAAGAGAAGATTGGACGATAGCTGCCCAGTGACAATTTCCTTGGTTGCCTCCTCAGCCTCATCACCCTCCTCATCCAAGGTTAAGTCCATAACCTACTCTGCAGGAGGAGGGGACTTGGCTTCAACAGCATCCTTGGGTCTCCTCACCAAGGCTTCATCATCATTTTTCTCTCCATCCTCATCCTCGGCATCAGCCTCAGTCTCTGATTCGTTTTCGGCCTGACTTGGAGGAGGAAATGGTAAGGGGATGGCATCAGCATTACGAAAGGGCGAGTCAACAGGGAGATCAAGCTTTTTTATCAGGGACATCCAACCTAAGGAAAATCCCCTGTTGCATGCCTGCCTGACCTGAAGCTTATAATCCTCTGCGACATCGGCCATACCCTGGGCATAGGCCTTTTCATCAGCCTCTTTGACTTCGGCCTCTTTTGTGGCCAGAGCTTGCTGGAGTTCTTTCTCCGCTTGGGCCTTCTTAGCCTCGGCCTCTCTTTTCTCAACCTCAGCAACTTTTTTAACGGCCTCAGCGGATTCGGCCGTCTCAAGAGCTAAAGTTTGGGCTTTAGTTGCAGCCTCGGCCTGATCCTCCAGTTTTTTCATTTTTTATTCAAGAGACTTTATCTCCCTCTTCAGAGAGGACGCCTCCCTCTTCATATCAACCAATCTTTGATGATTTTCAAAAGATTGCATTGAAAAGGAATAAGCGTGTTGAATGGCCTACAGAAAAACAGAAGTGTCAGGAAGTATTCTCAGTAAGAAATAGAAGGAAGTATTCTCAGTAAGAAACAGAAGGAAAAATCACAAGTGCAAACAGGAACACTTACTTGCACGGAGTGTTGGAGCATGAGAGCGTAATTCTCATACTCGCTGAGGTCGGCATTGCGCTCCAGATCGTTTGGGAGGAGGAGAGCAGTGCTAAGGGCGACACCAACGTAGATGTCGTCGGCACTTTCACTGGCCATGATGGGCCTATCCTCCAGAGTTAGTTGAGGAGCCCAGGGGACGTCGGGCTTCTTTGAAGCCGAGGTCGTTGCAGACGATGACCTCGCCTTTTTCGATTGTGTAGACCCTGAGGGTTGGCCCTCAGCAGACCTCTTGGTGGAAGTAGAAGTTGATTTTTTGCTTTCTGCCAATTTAGAAATAGGCAAAGCATCCTCAGCCTCGGCATCTGTAGCCTTGGCCTTGGGCTGAGCCTTTTTTACTCTCTTCGGCTTTAGTGGGGGCATTGATTGCGTTGGTACGACGTCGGCGTCGGTTGGAAGGTCGGCGAGAAGATCTTGTACGACAGGCCTTGAACGAACCATCTCGGCAGTTTTTACAAGTCTTCGTCGACGTTTGCGTTCTGGGATTGGTATTAAGTAGGGGGCCGAAGTGGATGGAAGATCGGCTGGGTCAGAGGTGGATCCCTGATCTGTTCGGGATGAAGAAGCAGTTACAGTTGTGGCCGTAGGCGGTGAGAGGCTTTTCTTCTTTGTTTTCGGGACATCGGGCAATGTGGATTTATATGTGGGGATGAAGTTTAGTAGCAGTGGAGCTTTCCGTTTATGGATGGGAAGGTCAAGGAGTCTTTTCAGATCTTTTCCTGGGAAAAAGGATTGGCGAAAATTTTTTGATGGCTGATGAAGATCTGCAAGACAAAGAAACAGACGTCAGAAACAGAAAAGTATTAAAGACTTAAATAAAAAACAACTAAGGCATTGGCACTGGGCTCTTACCCTTGCCCTCTGTGATTGTTCGAGGAAGAGGGTAGAGGTGGACATCTTCGTCTGGGCCAAATTCCCAATTTCCCGAAGCAATAAGAAAGTCATCCCCAGCCCCCTTGTTGGAGTCTGGGAGGTCGGCTACAATTTTGAACTCGGTCGACCTCGGCTTAAGGTAATACACAAAGCCCCTTTCCTTCAGGTTGAGGGGGCACATGGTATAGCAGTACTGAAGGTCGGCCAGGGTAATTCTAAGATTCTCTTGCCTAGCTAAAGCTATAATACCGTTAATCACCCTATAAGAGTTGATAGTAAGTTGCATGGGGTTCAGCCTGTAGAAATGAAGAACTTCACGAAAAAGGGGATCAAGTGGAAGCCGAAGTCCACATTTGGTAAAAGCTACTATAGGGAAGGGCATCGTATGGTCTGTGGGCATGATGGTATCACCATCCCCAGCTAGTTTAAGATGAACATCGACTGGGATAGAGAATTCCTGCCTAAAGTATTCAAGTTTTGTTGGGGTATTTACCCTATGCCTCCACATACCCATTATGTCGGCTTAAACTAAGAAGAATGTATTTTAGAGGATGGGCGCTTAAAAGAAGGTTGTAAGAACCTCAGCAAAGACCTAGGAAAGGATTGATATGGTTTTTTTCAGTTTTCCCTAAAGATTAAAGGTTCTACAGACAAATCCCAAATCTATGAACTATGAAGATAAAGATCGAAGGCACAGATCTGGGACAGATACGAAAAACAGAAAAACAATGACGAAGTTTCAGATTCAAGAACAGAGGTATAGCTCTCAGAAACAATAGAGATACAGAAGTAAAAAAATCAAGAACAGTGGCAAAGAGAATGGTGAAATAGTACAGAAGTTCAAGATGTAGCCACAATTCAAGATACAAATAAATCCAAGGCTTCGAACAAAATCAATAATGACAACAGGCAGACAAAAGCACATAAAGAGAATTAATAGTGAAGGGAACGAATCTTACCGGAACAAATGAAGTCGGGGCAATGTTCGCCGAGCTCAGAAACCGGTTGCAACAGCGAAGAAGGCTTCGCAAGAATGAGGGATTAAGGGCAGTTCCAGAAGAGAGATCAAAGCAATGGCAGATTCGAAGAAGACAGAGCTTTCGGAGAGAGAAAGAGCAAGAAATTAGAATGAAAAAGTGAAGGAAAAATAGTGGCAAATAAGAAGTTTTGCTAAAAATTTGAAACGGCGGCAAAAATAGGGCAATTATTACGCCTAGAGCAACGCACGCGTCAGACGGCGCAGACGAATGACAGACAGCTTTCAGGCGCGTCACCGACACACTCCAATGAAGACAAAACACGTGAAAGGAACGGTTAGATATGCATGACAGCTCATGCGCGTGGGAGAGTACGATCGAAACCTTGTTCTCCAAAGAGAACACATCGGCTGAAAGTGGATTATCTCGGCTAAACGGTTTTTGAGCCATTACTCAGAAAAGAAGTGTCGAAATATCGGTATAGGTTCCATCACCTCAGAATGCTTATTTAGTTATTTATTTATTGTCAAATACCATGATCTGATTCTAACATATCCCTTTTTGGTAATTGTGGGGATATATTTTCTGAATACCAACACGTGGCATGGTGACGCCGACGTGTCAGCCGAGGTGCCACGTGTCCTGGTCGTGACGCCGAGATGATCTCGGCGAGGCCGAGGTTAACTCCGAAGATATCGGAATCCGAGATAAACGAATAATGGACAAGAGTCCTAAGACGAAGAGGGGACTTAACCAAGATAAGGATAAAGCTCTTAGGGAGTTTATCTTTATCTCTTAAAGAGTCCGAAGTAAGCACTAAATTGGAGTTCATAGAAGTCATACTTCTAGTAGGACTTGGATTGAGTATATTATAAAAGAGAGGCACCCCCGTGGGTCTAAGGTATGCAATTTATGTTTTGAGTATTAAGTTTTGCACTTGATTATCTTTGAGAGATATACTGACTTGATCGTCGGGGTGCCCCCGGGTGGAAGAACCACCGCCGGAGCCTTTCTTTCTGTTACAGGTTACTGAAGCCATCTATTCTGCCTGTGCTTTCTAATTGATCACTAAGCGGGCAGTGTGGTCAGATTTTTACCCACACAGAAGGGAATGGTGAGAGATGGTGCTATCAATAGAGGATGATTGTGTGTTTTAAAATTAGGATTTGGGTGAAAGAAGATAAGGCTATTATGATTTTTTTATTGTGGATAAAGTTGTGTTAAAAAATATTTCATTAATGCTGGTTCATAACTTAATGCTCTGTTTGGTTGGAGCATTTAAATAGAAATTTAGAAAAAAAAAATAGAAAAAAAATTGATGTACGATTCTTTCAATCGGCATTCTCTTACGTGCTAAGAAATTCCCATCGAATGAGCTCTCTCCTTCCTCTGAAACTGCGTGAACTCCATATATGAACCCCCGAAAGGAATACATGTCTTCGAGAAAGTTACAGTAATTGAAATGTCTATTAATCCTCTCATCCTCGAAGCTCCTACTCAGTCCACCCTTCTTCTCCTTCCTTTGAGAGAGAGAGAGAGAGAAGAAGAAGAAGAAGAAGAAGAAGAAGAAAACGGAAAAAAAATAAAAATAAAGTATCAAACGAATATGAAATTGGTATTGGAGAGCTCTGGTTTACAAGTGAAGCCTACGATCGAGGACGATCCTATCGCTTATCATGATCATCTTGAAAATGAACTTGTTGCCAACAGTGCAGGTTCCCTCAGCCTAATGGAGGTAACCATCTCTCTCTCTCTCTCTCCCTCTCCCTCTCTCTCTCTCTCTCTCTCTCAACATTAACAAACTTCAAATTCTTTTGATATTTTAGCTCTGTTCAATTAAACTTGAAGGTGAAACACTGACCCAGATTCCACAGGAACATGAAGCTCTGCAACCAGTGAACAACACTGAGAATGGGAGGGAATTCAACTCATTAAATCTGCTGAATACTCCGAATAACAATAAACAAAATGAAGAAAGAAACATAAAAAGGAAGTGCATCTCAAATTCTTATGTGTTGATGACAGCCTCGACCTTAGTTGCAGCTTCTACGTATACAAGTATTTTCAATTTGAGCCACTCTGATTCTGAATCTACTGAATATTTCAGCGTTCGAGATATAATATTGTGTCCTGACCGACTGCCCAATTCTTTCTACAACATCATGTTCATGACAGTCGCATTTACTTTTTTAAGATTGCTACTTCGCTGATTATGACAGGGGTCGAGCTGCCTGGTCAGCTCGCGGTCGAAGCAAAATGCAAAAATACATTCAAAATTGCCGAAGCAAAATGCAAAAATGCATTCCAAGTTGCCTGTCCGCTCGAGCGGAGAATCCCTGGTTCCAGCAGTTTTGGTCGCCTGCAAAAGTACTGAGATATGTGATTTTGCGCTCGAGCGGGTTCTCTAGCGCTCGAGCGGACCTCTGTTATATCACGCGCAGATTTTACTGAAGACGCTCGAGCGGGTTGTTGGGCGCTCGAGCGGAGATCGCGGGACAGATTCTATAAATTCGCGTGTTGGGTCAGATTTTAGGATTACTGCTCCAGATCTTCTTTTTGGTTTCTAGGGTTTATATCTAGGGATACTATGTGAGTTTTCTTTGATATTTTATTGAGTATTCAACTCATGGTTTAAAGAGAGCACATCAAAGGTTGTGTTTTGTTCTACAAAAGAGAGAGTTGTTCTTCGGTGGATTCTGAAGAATTCGAGCCTGAAGCTTTGGTGGATTCCGGGGTGGCTCATCGTAAAGACAATTCCAAGGTGAAGACGGGTTGGAAGAGGCACATAGAGGTTGGTTCAATTAGGCGTGGATTCGCTAGGTAATTGAGAGTATACCTGTGTAATTCCTTTAAATCTTCTTAGTGGATTGTTTTGTGGCTGTTGCCCGTGGTTTTTGATCACAGTTGGAGGTGTCCAATTGTGGTTTTTTCCACGTAAAATCGTTGTGTCTCTTTGTCTTGATTGTTTGATTGGGATTGTTATATTCTGCTTAAAATTGATACATAATCACAAATCAACATCTAGGGGATTTCTAGATTTTTCACTATGCTTGTCTACATTCTTTTTCAGTTATACTTTCATAATGAAAGATAATCTGCCCAAATTTTGGGTGACTTTTGAATCCTTCAACTTCAAGATTTCAAGCTTCTGGTTGGTCTGGCTGTATGGCCTTTCTTTAATCCTCCCACTAGTTACATTTTGGCTTGTGGTCAAGTTAGTCGTTGCCCTTGTCAAAATGAGTAGGTCCGACCCTAAATGAGGCAGTGTTAGTGTCTAGTTCTGACCACGACCTAATTGTTAGAATAAGTAGGTCTCACACCCTATAATATTGTATTCAGTTTTGTGATCAAATTAGATTCAGATTCAAAAGAATAACTTGTACAGTAAATTTCTTCCATGAATAACGTATCCTGCAAAGATTACTAGAGTTGCAGCAGTTGCATCCTCCGCGCGCTCCGACATCATCTGCTTCACTCAGCTTCAACTCCCACGGCCTCCTTTTTTGCAACTGTAACTAAAATATTCAGAATTTTAATGAGTTTACCTCTTGTATGGTTATGTGATTCATATTAGAATTAATTTAAGTCACATTTTTTTTCCTTCATTTTTTCTGAATACTTGAGATTGCATGGGAATTGTTAGTATTGATTGATGATGATTCTTGCACGGTACAACTATTGGTCTTTTAACATAGGTAAAGTTAAATTTAAGTAATATTATAAAGAGAAATGTTAGAGATCATGAAAATTTTATCATGAAAAGGATCATGAAAAATTTATGACCCTTAGATTACCTTGATTAGTGTGTGGTGCTAATTGTTAGTATTGATTGATGATGATTCTTGCACGGTACAACTATTGGTCTTTTAACATAGGTAAAGTTAAATTTAAGTAATATTATAAATTCAAACTTAATTATTTAGAAATTATTTAAAATTATCATCTTGTTGTTTAAATTTATTGTACATATAGATTTTACATTACACAAATTTAATTTTTACCATACAATCACCCATCCAGAAAAATCTGGATGGGCCTAAGTTCCCAAACTCTACTACAAGAATTAACACTTTTGGCAACAAAAAAATTGGTCGCTAAAAGTCTATTTTTGGTCGGCAAAAGTTATTCGCGACCAATTTTTTAGTCGCTACTTTGGTCGCCAATTGAGGGTCGACAAAAGTAATTCGCGACCAAAATTGTGGTTGGTTGGCAAAAGTTGAATTTTGCTGACTAAATTTTTGGTCGCTAAATATTTAATTACCGCAGCTAATTTATTTTGTCGCCAAAACACTTTGGTCGCGAAAAGTGATATTTTCCCGACCAAATTTCTTAGTCGCCAATTGTCACATTTCGCGACCAAAAATTTTGGTCACCAATTATTACATTTCGCGACCAAATTTTTTGGTCGCCAATTATCACATTTCGCGACCAAAAAAATTGGTCGCCATTTGTGTCTTTTCGCGACCAAAACTTTTGGTCGGCAAAAGTGAGTTTCCACGACCAAGAGCTGTTTTGGTCGTCAATAAATGTATTTTTTGCGACCAAAACTCTTGATCGGCAATTGTCATTTTTTGCGAAAAAAAATTATTTATTTGTCGCGACTAATAAATTGGTCGCCAAAGCAAGAAAACAATACACCTGTAATTCCTACTAATTCATTCAATCCATAATAAACCTATAATTTTAAAGCATTATTCAAATTAACTGAATCATTAACATTCGACACAATACATAATTCATTAACATTCAAATTTACAACTATTCTAAGTTTTCATTCACAAGTCACATCCATCTAGCGTAACAAATTGAAACAATACATAATTCAGATTTACAGCATCAGGAAAATTGCTTAATCCACTAAGTTGCCTTGATAGCCAATCAAAAAGATCCTTGCGCCCTTCCGTGCCAAGCTTCGGATCCATCAAAGCAGTAGTGATGTAAGGCACCTAATAACACTTTCAGAATTGGAAAATTTATCAGAGAAGCATGATAAATATATAAAATTAATTAATGCATAAATGAAATAGAGAAATTAGAACCCAACCATTTTGTCGAGATGAACAGCAGCAATCCAAGCATCTAAAGTAGTCAGAGTGCTTTCTCTCATATGTTTTTTATTGTCAGCAAGGCATTTCAAAACATCTGACAGTATACACTTATTGGTTTTTCCTGTATCCACTCCACCTGACAGGTTGATTTCCTGTATCCCCTCCATCTGCTCTTTAAGTGAGACAATGGCTGCAACAACAATAGTCGGTGGACAATGCTCTTTACGTATGTGAATGTATTATAAATTTCTCACCTTAATTGGTTTTTCAAAACAATAGTCGAGGTAGGTTTTCTAGTACAGTATAGAACTCTCTGTGTCCATTTGGACTACCAGATGAGGTTCTACTGGTTCTGATCGATTCCCCTCTCCACCTTGATCAACAAAAGAGAGATAATACCTGGCGCTGTTTGGTCTCACACAACCTTTTTTAACTTCTCTGCAACAACTCTTAAAGACTTCCACGGGTGGACAATACCACTGACCAAGAACCTGTTTAAAATGAATGTGAGGAAACTCCAATCAAATTACATAAACCAAAGCAGATAACCAAGCTTAAATTCAAAAATATTATGATTGACTCATGAACACTATTGAATGATCTCAGGTATCACACGTCAATTCAAGCTATCCCACTTCAAATTAATAAGAAAATGGCAAGAGCACAAAAGTTGTGCCACTTTCAGTATAATGCATTCTCCAAGTCAATTTTTACAATATAGAAAACCATCAATAAAGAGCTGAAAACCCAAGCCATGGTTAACTCTCATTAAAAAATTAGAAAATCTGGAGAATCAAGATTTTTTTTTATAAGCATTACCAGTAGCATTTTAACATATATACATACATATCTAAACAACAAACCCAAGGAACATGGTGAACTCTTTATGTTGACCATCTTCATTGAGTTATTTTTGGGATTTCCAGACAACATGAATCAGACTTCATTGGAAACTTCAATTAAATTCCAAGTGCTAAAGACCTGTAGGGAAAAGCTGGTTACAAGGATCATTGCCATTCGAGTACGAACAAGTCACCCAATTGCATCCACTAAGAAAATGGTAAATCAGTGATGATCATCCTTGTGCCAACTGTCTCTGCATGTGGGTCAGCAAGTTGGGACAGAAACATACAATTGTGTAAAATCTATTTTTCAACATGTCATTTGGGAATATTCACACCCCTCAACAAAATCATAAAAGCTCTCGAGTATGGCTTGGTATGATATTTCATCTAGCCCCACCATTTACCAGATCAACCCTACTCAAATCAATGGAAATTCAAGGCCAAAAATATGAGAAACATAAGAAAGCAAAAATAAATTGGGTAAGAATAGTTCCTTTGTTAACTATTGCTTCTAATTTACAAAGGCAAAAGAAAAAAAATAATAACAAAAAGAAAAGAACTAATCCATGCTACTATAACCAGCGTCCACAAAATAAAGTTCAAGCTAATGCGGAAGCCTAGAGTCATGGACATGTGTAGAAGCTATATTATGAAACTGTGTTGATGCCACATTATGAAACATGGTTGGCACTACATGCAGCAAATGTGCTGGCACAAGATCATGTAACATACTATGAACGTATTCCTTACTATATGCATTGGATGAGTTTCAGTCTCGGCTCCAAGAACTGCAAAAGGAAAAGATAATTTATTTCATATTGTTCGATTAACATCAATTTGACTAACTTTCATACCCACTGAGTCAATGAATTTTGGTTGATTATTTGATCTGGTGGCAGAGTAAGAGGTTGCACAAGGTCCTTGAATTTGTATCAAATACCTGCTGTTTAAATATTGACTTGTTTTTTGTTGTCAAGGCTGAGGTGGCAGTTGAAAGGCTTGATCAACTAAAAGCTAGCAGGATGAAGGAAATTGCTTTAAAGAGGCAAACTGAGGTTGAGGAGATTTTTGGATAAGGTTGAGAAATGGATAAGGTTGAGGAGACTCTCAGCAGGAGGAGACTCTCGATTAAAATATATATATATATATATATATATACTGGGGCGAAAGTTGAAAAATCATATAACAACTTGGAACAAATTGTTTAACCAGTTCCATCAGCTAGCATTTATGCTCTACATGATCTATCCAGCTACTACAACATTACAAAAATGGAACTCCACTAAGGGAAAATGAAAGCTAGAAGAAAGTATGCCC